TTGTACCCTACATCCTTGTAGCCTATTTACGTCCTCCATTTCTCTACCCCTATATTACCCCTCGTCAATCCCCACTGGTAACTACTACTTTGTTCTCTATGGAAAAATAGCTTCTTTTTAAGGAAGGGGAAGAAACAAAATCTTATAGATCCTGACTTAGTTCTATGCTGGGACCAAGCAGCATCTGATCTTCACAACATTTCTTTGCAAGAAATCTCTCTATCCCACTCCAGAGTTGAGGAGACTTGGCTTCTGTGAGGTTAAAAGACTTGTCTAACGACACTCACTAGGTATCATGAAGTCTATGGGATCTCATGAGATGCCTAAGACCTCCACATGGGTTCCCCAGGATCTCTGGAGAGTCGAGGCACTCCTATCTTGTTCTGAAGGCCTTTTCTCTAAGGTCTGGCCTGAGACTTCCCTCTTCTGGGATCCCCCTTCTTGGACTCCTCCACCAGACCTACCTGCCTCCAATCTGAGGCCAAGCTGTGCCTGAAGATATGGGTCATCTCCCCTCCCCATCCCAACGAAGACTCCATGTCTAGGCTTTGGCACTTGGTGACTTGCTGTCTCACCAGCCCCACCCCCACCCTCCAGCCAGCTTAGCGATATCAGCTACTAGAAACTCTTTCCTCTCAGCTCCCCATTCTGAGTACCTCTTCCTATGCCCTCTTGAGAGCTTTTTGCCCAGATTATTCCTTGCAGTTTTATGTCACTGAACAATTAAATGAAAGTTCCTAGGGATCAGGGCAAAGCATAAATATTTATCTAAAAGTTTCCCCAGGAGATGCTAAGGCACAGCCAGGATTGGCAACCATGTCCAAAGACACCTGGCCTGTCAGTTCATAGCTACTTTGGGAGAATAAGACATATAGCAACAGGGAAGGAACATTCAGTTCCCATTTTTCTGTTTGCTTCTGTCAGCTCTGAATCCTGCCCACACTTCAGCTCTGATAATATGTCTTTGTACATTGAAAAGAATGCTGTAGTCACACCTTTAGTGCAGGGAATCAGTCTATAGAGCCCGTTGACTCACCTGTTATCAGCTGATAAGCCTATGCCTCTTGCTTAGAATATCAAATAAGACACAGAGTATCTAAAAGAGAAATGTAGCTCCTTCGGGAGCCATTTCTCTGGTTATGTATCTAAGGAGAAGGATTAGAATCCTGGATGGTAGAGTCTTCCAGATGGAAAGGAAGTTCCAGTCACCACCATGCACCTCCATGGTCATTACTAAACATAGGGCATCTAGCAGTGAATAGTAAAGAACATAGTCCTTCACTCTGGCAACTGCCCCCATCACAGCCCCCACCCTCAGAAGAACCCCTCCCCAAGGGGTCTCCAAAGCAAGGAAGAGCTTAATTCATCCGTCCAGGTTCAGAGTTTTGGCTCTGACGGTGGTTCCTCAAAATATAAAACTGGGTTGTCTTTGTCCAGCTACAGGCTAAAAGAAAGTGGTAGGAGTAAGCTAATCCTATCCATAGAAGGAGATTCTAAATAAAAAGGAGCTCAAAGTCACAGTGGACCTTATTCAAAGCAGGTACCAGTGTTGATCAGAAATCCAGAAATCAAGAGCAAGCAGAAAAGAAATAAGGTCTTATTTCTGACCTTAACCTGACCCAGCAGAGGCAAGAGGGCATCCGAGAGCCCAAGGCAAAGGCTGGCCAAAACAGACTGACTGGGACTCCAGTACCCAAGGGCTCCTGTGGCATACACAGAAGCAGCTGCTGTCCACACCAGGCAAGACCAGAGCTTTTATTAATACCTCCCACCAGCGGGCATCACCAACCCTTCTAGTCCAACAAGGCCAGGGTAGACCACATATCTCAGCCACAGCCATAGTCACAGCACATATATGATATACTTTCCAGACTAAATACTAGAACCACTCAATTGAAAGAGATTCGGTGACCCCATCCCTGCTCAGGATAAATATGATGTTCATAGAATGAGGAAGGGACCTTCCTTATTCTACTTTGTTAATATTGTTTGGCTCGTTGGTTGGATGGTTAGTTGGCTGATTGACTTTTGGTTGTTTTAACCAGATGCCTTGCCAGGTGCTTCCCAAAATGGAAAAAAGATTTTGTTCTCTGAATGGCTTAAGGTTTAAGATATCAGAACAAGAGCAGTTATTACAACTTCAGATAGGCTTCTGAGTATATTTGAAGTTCATAAAAGGCCCATGGGGACAAGATAGAAGGAAAGTCAATGTCTCTTCCTCCTCTCATATGTCCGGTTTTCTGGTAGCAACATTCAAAAACAGAAGAGCCCTAAGGATATTTCCTGAAGTCTGGGGATTCCCCACAAATGTCCTCTTCTGAACTAACCTTCTTGAACCACAGTTTTGAAGCTTGATTGTGTGTATGTGTGTGTGTGTGAAAGAGAACTAGAACCACACAATGAGTGATGTCAGAAAGTGGTTCTATTATGATTTCTTAGCCAAGGTACTTCCAAGGTGAAAAGACATTTAAGGTTCAGTATTTCCAATGGAAATATAATCTTCCCAGGTTGTAAACTGCTTGAAGACAGTGATTATTTCTTATGAAACTTTATTCCTCATATAGCACCTGGGGAAGAACTTGGCAGAGAATTTGAGCTTAAAAATATCTTGATGAATAAATGAATGAATTCATGGATGAGTGAATGAATCTGTTAACATATGACTGTGAGAGTATACCAACATGCTGAGAGAATGAATACACAAAGATGTAAATGAATACACAAAGATGTAAATGAATACATGAGTAGATGACACATGCTTGCATTTGCCAGTGAGGGAATGGATGGGGTGTTTGTTCCCAGTATGTGTGAGGCCAACAAAACCATTGGGCAAGGCATTGGAAAATGGAGGTAACATGCTAGAGCCCTCTTAAGGAGTAGATCCAAAGGCCATTCTTAAACCCTCATGAGTTCTTTTCAGCTTCCTGGGGTCACCATGACACTAGCATCAGAAAGCTGAAAGCCCAAGATGCCAATGTTCATTAGTTCTCCCAGGAGTGAATGGTCAGATCCTAGAAGATTGATCCACACTGTAAACCAACACATTTACCCTGGGAATATAGTTGTTAACAGGACCAAGATTGGTGATGGATACCTATAGAAATCTCTTCCCAGCAAGGAAGCAAAGTTAAAATCAGAAGTTTTCTTAGGGAGAAGAATCAAGGGAATGGGGGTCAATGGCATAGAACTAGAGTATCTGGTTTCCATCATCTCCCTACCTGGTGAGAAAGTTCCCAGGGCTCCATTCCTCAGACACAGCAGGAGGCTCTTTAATGAATTCTGCATGATCTACCTCTCCTCTTTTCAGTATCTTTCATTGATTGCCAATTCTCCCATCATGACAAATTGCTTTATGATACACATCTTAGAGTGAATAAGCAGGCAGTTCCATGGATATTGGCCGTATTTGAGATGGAAATCTTTGCAAAGAGATTGGAAAGAATTTCTCCCAGGGCTTCCTTGTCTTGAGAGTCACATTTATAAATACTCTCCTGGGGCAGGTAATTCCCTGAGATGACTTTTGGAGACTATTCCTTTATATACTCTTAGCATCCATTTCAGAGGATGACATTTTATGGCCGAGTCTCCAAGTTTGAAGGATACATTCTATTAGGAGTTTACAGAACCCTGTGCCTTGCTGGCAGCCAGAACTCTGCCTCTTTTTCCAGGATAAAGTACCTCAGAGCAATGTACTGTGATGGGAAAATAACTATTTTGAGACAGCTCCAGGTTTGCCCCCCAGCTCTGCTTTTCCTTTGATATGTGTGTCTGGGCAGGTTATTTAACCTCTGAGTTTTGATTTCTTTAAATAATATTACCTACATTGTAGGGTTTTTAAAATATGGATTCAGTTTTTTAATGTCTGAAAATTCTCTAATAGCTTTCAATTAAAAGTAGCAATTGGCTATGACAACTTGGATAGGACAGAGCTTTCTGCTTTGCTTCATGTGGTTCTTCAGTTCTGTTCCACCAGAATTAGCCAATCTAGTGGCCTCTCCCTCTAGAAGACACAAGAACTCATTTGTCTTCCTTTTGTAAAGTTCATTATGCTTGTAGTATACATGTTTGAAGACCATCTTTCCCCACTTTGGTATAAGCTCCACAAGGGCAGAGACCTGTTAATTATTGTCATCCCTATGTCTAGTCATGGGAGCGGGGGGTTCACTCAGTAAAAACCTGTTGCTAAGACTCACTGCACTTTAAGGAGGCACTAGAAACCACTTTAGAAGTATCTGGAGGGGAGGTCACTGCAAGAGAGTCCCCAGAGGACAAAGAACTTCCATTGATTCCTAGAAAGGGAACTGCTGATAAACTGTGGTTGTGCTGAAAGACCTGAGATTGATATAATCATCTTTTTTATATAGGCCCCAAATACAGCTCACCATGACCTTAATAGTCCCTTTGGGAAGAGGCAATGATACAGTGCCCTTGATATATCATCTAGTGACTTTGCTCCATTATAGGCTATAAATTAAATTGAGTTTTCTGGAAGTGGACACAACTCTGAATCACTGAGCCCCTGTGAAAAGACTAGAGAAGAAAGATGTTTGAATTGGAAGATAAAGCAACCCAGTTTTACTATAAGCTCTATCAGTAATTTTTTCTATCAATAATCTTTAATGTCACCTTATTCAAGCCATTTCCCCTTCTTGGAACACAGATTATCAGGTTTTAAAATGGGGAGATGAAATATTAATAATTAATATTCTTAATAGCTAAATTCCCTTGACACTCTCAACTCCAACAGTCCATAGTTTTCTCATTCTATAGGCATCTGCGTGCATGTTTTTCATCAATAAGGGGAGTGTAAGTGATGGTTTTGCACTTTCCACAATTTCGTGTCTCCTAACAATGCCAAGGTTCACAGTTTCTGGGCTTTCTGCCTCTCTGAAGTTTGGTATTGGTTGGTTGTGGTTTCTCTGTTGTATTAAACCAGAGCCTAATCAATCTGGCTGAGGTGGTCTTATCTGTCTGCTTGTGTCCTGCCCCTTGTCCCACAGCCATGCTGCAGGCAGTGCGAGCCCTGATGATCGTGGGCATCATCCTGAGTGTCATTGGCCTCCTGGTGGCCATCTTTGCCCTAAAGTGCATCCGTATTGGCAACATGGATGACTCCGCCAAAGCCAAAATGACACTCACCTCTGGGATCATGTTCATCATCGCAGGTAAACAAGGAGCCTGGGGATCCCTCTTTCAGAATCACATCCGGGAATGTCAAAGCAAAATCATTCTGGCAGAGAAAACACAGCTTCTCCCTACTGAGCATAGTCTGAACATGGGTAAGAGCTGTACACACTGGGCTTCAAGATCTGAGATTAAGCCTCGATTGCACTCTACAGAATTACCACGAGTGCTAAGGTCCCTCTTAGCTGCCAGCCTCACCTCATTATAGGAGATTCTCAACTCTAAGATAGTCACATGACTCTATCCTTAAAGGCATTATTTTGTTGAGACTTTACAAAATGATTTTAAGGGAAGAGCCCTTGACATTGTCAAAGGACCAGGCCCCAAATATTAATATTTGTAATATTGACCCCTTGTCCTGAGATGGAAAATCTCTTTCTGCACACACACCTATGCTTCCACAAGTAGAAATAAGAGACAGCCCAACTCAAAGTGAGAATTCAGTAATCAGTGCTTGAACTGACCATTCTGTTATAGGAATGGAGTATTCTGCAACCTGCTCATCTAAACTCATGTAAGCATACACTGCCTCACAAACAATGTGATCCCTTTAAAGCTGACTCCAGAGTCTTCTTATTCTTTGCTTGCAGGTCTCTGTGCGATTGCTGGAGTGTCTGTGTTTGCCAACATGCTGGTTACTAACTTCTGGATGTCCACAGCTAGCATGTACACCAGCATGGGGGGGATGGTGCAGACCGTTCAGACCAGGTAACCTCCTAATCTAGACTCACTATTTCTCAGTGAACATTGTTGTAAAAATCCGATTAAGCACATATGCCTAATGTGACTGTCAGCGCCTGAAATAGCAAAAATTTATCAGCGTCAACCATGCCATATCATAAATCAACAATGATCTGTAAATTCATAAACTTCATTTCAGTGAAATATCCTTGGTGATATGACTTGAGGCTGATCTGACATTTCCATTGAAATACAGCGACAGTTCACAGTATTTATCTAACACTCTTACACAGGCCCCATTGTGGTAGCAATGAAACAGGCACTGTTAACCCAAGCATGTAAATGAGCATCACCCCACATCTCCAGTCAGTGACAGGAACCCAGCTAGGGACAGGGAAAAGCTAGAATAGAAATGAGTGAGGTGCAATATAGGTGAAAAAGTGATGTTTCTTCCTTGTATGGCTGCTCTTTCTCTCATTCATTAACTCATTCATTCTACAAATGTATCGAACACCTGCTGTGCACCAGGAATCACTCTGAGTTCTTGGAATAACAACAAAGTCCTTGTTCTCATGGAGGTCACAGCCTAGCAGAGGGAGATGAAACCTCACTGTAATTTGGTGTCGCAAGCAGAGTAGAACTTTACAAAGATGCAAGAGGAATTCCAACACCTGTTTTCATTTAGCCACTTCAAAGGAATGTATTTCATAGCAAGAAGCAGCAGCAAATTCCTGAAGGAGAAAGATCTTTTTCTAGGAGAGCCATGTAAATATTATACCTAAGTGACCCATCATCTTTGGAGTGGATATGCTTGGTATTTCTCCAGCAACACCATCATGGAAGACAAATGAGTGTGAGCATCCATTACTCTCTGGCTCCCTGGAACTCCATTCACCATGTGTGTTCCTGTGTTGTTTTAAGAATGGGAAAGATATGATCCCCATAAGATGCCCTCATCCTCCTTTACAGTCCTCCCATGGTCTCTTAACTACAAGGACAACCAAGAAGCATGCTGATCAACTCATCCTGGTTTCCCTGGGTGGTGGTTGTTGTTCAGTCACTAAGTCATATCTGACTCTCTGCGACCCCATGGGCTGCAGCATGCCAGGCTTCCCTGTCCTTCACCATCTCCCAGAGCTTGCTCAAACTCATGTCCATTGAGTCAGTGATGCCATCCAACCACCTCATCCTCTGTCACCCACTTCTCCTCCTGCCTTCAATCTTTCCTAGCATCAGTATCTTTTCCAATCAATCAGCTCTTTGCATCAGGTGGCCAAAGTATGTATTGGAACTTCAGCTTCAGCATCAGTCCTTCCAATGAATATTCAGGGTTGATATCCTTTAGGATTAACTGGTTTAATCTCCTTGCTTCCCAAAGGATCCTCAAGAGTCTTCTCCAACACCACAATTCAAAAGCATCAATTCTTAGGCACTCAGCCTTCTTTATGGTCCAACTCTCACATCCATACATGACTAGTGGAAAAACTGTAGCCTTGACTATATGGACCTTTGTCAGCGAGGTGATGTCTCTGCTTTTTATACATTGTCTGGGTTTGTCATAGCTTTTCTTCCAAGGAGAAAGCATCTTTTAATTTCATGGCTGCAGTCACTGTCCACAGTGATTTTGGAGCCCAAGAAAATAAAGTCTGTCACTGTTTTCCTGGGACTTACCTACTTTTAGCACTGATAGGCCTAGATCCTAGGAAACTTCTCTGTCACGGGCAAATTAAGATGATTGGTCACCCTACCTAGAAAAGCCCACCTTGTCTGCAGTATCTGGATGCATAGTGTCACTGCCCCTGCCTGGAAATGTCACCTCCTACCGGGGATCCAGGGCTAATGCCCACCATTGCTCTCTTACATCATCTCCTTAGAACCTGCCCATGTCTCTTGGACAGGCAACTTCAGAGATTTTTGTTCTCAGATAATCCTGTTTGGATGTAATTCACAAGGAGAAGTTCACCAGTTTTAGAGTCAGACTTCCACAGGTTAGAATTCAGTGTGGGCTGGAACAGAAGCACCATGAGGGTGTGGTCTGTGTCTGTCTTGTTCACCCCTCTGTCCCAGTGCCAGGCAGTAGGAGGCACATAGTAGGAGATCAATAAATACTTGTTGACCAAGTAAGTAAAGAAATGAATGAAGAAATAATGGTCTCTTCACATTAGGTCTTTCAAAAAACAGCATCCATGCTCCTACTGGCATGGATGGTTACCAGGGTTACTTGAGTCAGAGATGATGAAAGCTTCTTGGTCCACAGTAAGAACTCAAGAGACCAAAATTCCTTCTGAAATAATAACTTGAGACTGATCCCATATCACTCGAACTTCTCTTGCCAAACCTTCAAGACACTTCCCTTTGCCAATAGGGAAGAAGTGGAATTTTCCTAAGGTGTTTCTCTGAAATTAGAGACTCGCAATGAATTCTATGCCTGAGTGATGTTAGGGGCATAAGAATCTCACAACTGTTTTACTGAGTAGCTTCATTTCCAATCATGATCTCAGAGCACCTGATTCAGTTGACTGTGACCCAAAGGACTGTGTGTTCAGGGGCAATCTGGGGTAGCTGTGGAATCCAAAAGTGGGGACCAAGAGGATGAGTATGGCCAGATTCACAGGGTAGAGCCCGCGCAGAGTCAGCCACATTCATAGCCACTGTCTCCCCACCCAGGTACACCTTTGGTGCAGCTCTGTTCGTGGGATGGGTCGCTGGAGGCCTCACGCTGATTGGGGGTGTGCTGATGTGCATCGCTTGCCGGGGTCTGGCCCCCGAGGAAACCAAGTGAGTCTCCCCATCCCAATGTAATCAGACATTTGATCCAAGCCCATTTTAACATATGATTTGCAGCCAGAACAATCAGCATATGTATACAGAAGAATGCTATTTACAGAAGGATCATGACCCTTATCCTTTATGGGGAAGCCTAAAGAACAGAACAGGAATATGTCAGCCTGAGCAGATTTAGAAGTGATGCTATTGAAGGAAAAATGAAACAGCCCTCTAGGCTATTCCCCAACTCCAGTATTCTGTAACTCGATGATTCTCAGCTGGGAGCAGTTGTATCCACCTCTCCACCTCTCCCCACCCCTTACCCTGCCCTGGTCCCCAGGAGATATTTGGCAACATCTAAAGACTCTCGATTGTTATTGCTCTGGAGTGGAGGGTTGGGTGATATGGAAATCTGGTGGGTGGAGGTCAGGGATATTGCTAAACATCCTGCAAAGCATAGGATAGGCCCCTGCAACAAAGATTTTCACTTTCAAAATGTTAGTAGTACCACTGCTGAGAACACCTATTGGACTTCTCTCACTGGGACTGGGATTGGGAGCCCTGGCTCCGTCTGGCTCTCCTGCTCACCAGTCCTGTGACCTCTAGCCACTCATCTGCCTTCTCTGAGCCTCTGTTACCTCATCCACATACTGAGCAGATTAGCAGAGATGGGTTGCTCATACATACTGATCAGCTTACAAATTCTATGATTCTTTGGCATAACCATGTTCCCCTGAACATTGTTTCTGGTTCAGCTTCATCTGAATTGATGAACAGATGGAACTCACTGGTCACTAACCCCCAGCTCTAATACAAAGCAAGAAATTCTGCTCCACTGCAGAGGCTAAAAAGCCAGTGTTCCAAAGCCCAAAACAGCAGCACTCTCAGTTTACCCAGGGCTAAGTGTTTCCTGGGACACTGGACTTTCAGTGCTAAAAGTCAGACATCCTAAAGAAAATGGGTTATTTGTCCTGCTACCAAATACATCTCTAGTTGGTCATAGAGTGTTTCTTTTTCTTTCAGCTACAAAGCCGTCTCTTACCACGCCTCAGGTCACAACGTTGCCTACAGGCCTGGAGGCTTCAAAGCCAGCACTGGCTTTGAGTCTAGCACCAGAAACAAGAAGATATATGACGGGGGTGCCCGCACAGAGGATGAGGGACAGTCTCACCCTTCCAAGTACGACTACGTGTAGCCCTCCCCCCAAGTCGCCCAGGCAGTGGCAGAAGAAACCCCTCAACGAGATCTCACCCCAAAACAAGGAATTTTACCTTGATTTCCCATACCTTTTGATTCACAGTTGGAAGTTAGAAAGCCTTGGTTTCCCCTGTGGTGAGGCCAGATGGTCTTGGCTACATGTCTCTGTCTCTAAATGTTCCATCACAAAACAGCTGAGTTATCATATGGCATTAGAGGCTACAGCCCACATCTTCCAGTCCTCTTATTTCTCTTTTTTTGACATAACCTTTTTAATCTGATGATAGAATGTGGTTTGAATTCCTATCAATCACTTAGATCACGTAGACAAAATGTCCGTCCTCCTTCTAGCCGACAGCCCATTGATGATCTATTTCCCAACTCATCCCCCAGAACAATTCTGAAAGGAAAAAATGAGTCAATCAAATGACATCATTTTCTGATATTTGATTTTTGCCTACCCTCCCACCCCCAGCCCTCACTTGGCTACTAATAAACACTGATTGAAGAAGAAATAGGGAAAGGGGATATTTTTCATATCTGCAGTTCATTATCTGAGTTTTCTTACGCTGTGATCTTTAACATTACTTGACCCAAAGGGATTTCACTTGGCAGAAACCAACATTTCCACTTCTGCTAACATCTGCTGGACTCCCCACTGCATGTCCTCTTTCTGTCACAGGCCAGAAAGAGTCTCTGGAGGAACAAGAAAAGGATTTTTTCTTTTTCCTTTTTATTTTTTTTATAATCTAAATATATTTGGTATTCTAAATATAGTTAGAATAAATAATGTATTAGTGAAATGATACACTGTCTCTGTGAATTAGCCTCACCCCTGCACATGAATAGAAGAAAACGAAAAAATAATTGCTTTGATGTTGTCTGTATTGTACTTGGTAAAATCACATTGAAGTCTGAATTTCATGAAATGCTCACTGATCCTATTTCTTTCCCTTTGAGGTCTCCTGGACTCTGGTTATGGATGATAGAATCAGTGTAATCCATGTAAAAACCAAATAATGGGACACAGCAGGTCCTAGGAAGTGAGTTGAAACTAGTTCTTTTTTGAAAAGTGATGAGCCTGAATGTAATGCTTCCCAGTGACATGTGGCCACACTCACAAGCCTACAGGCCGCTGAGAGTTGAGGGTAGCACTTACTTGCTGTTCCCTTCACCGAATTCACCTCCAGTGGTTGGACCATTAGATGTTCAAGAACTCTCTGCAGTGACCCACCTTCGCTGCATTTGTGTTACTGCTGCCAAAAGCCTAACCTCCTTCCTCCAGGCCACCAGTATCCCGTCCCAGCACCAGAGGCCCCCCCCAGGGAACTGTGGTAAGGGTAATCTCTCAAAACTACCTAGTCGGGCAGCGGCACTGCCACTGAGGGAATCTGACCAGTGGGTTATTATTTGAGGGGGTGGGGGAGGAAGTCCTCATGCCAATAGTGTATATGAAAGTGGCTTCCAAGGAAACAAGGAATATTCATAGGGATCTTCAGGATCGAAAGACTATGTTCAGGGGAACTCCAGACCATGGCCAGTTAAACAGAGAGGAATCATGTTCACCAAGAACCCAAGTAGCCAAGCCAGAGACCCTACTCACTGAGACATGCATGCATGCTTGCTCAGTTGCCTCAGTCATGTCTGACTCTTTGCAATCCCATGGACTGTAGCCTCCCCAGACTCCTCTGTCATGGGATTCTCCAGGCAAGAATACTAGAGTGGGTTGCCATTCCTTCTTCCAGGGATTCTTCCCAACCCAGGGATCAAACCTGAGTCTCCTGCATTGCAGACAGATTCTTTCCCACTGAGCCACTGGAGAAGCCCTCTCACTGAGACAGCAGTGTTTAAAGACCAAATCAGTACTCATGAAACTCTAAGACGGGATAAAGAATGGACAAATAAAATCAGGATGGACCTAGAGATGATCATACTAAGTGAAGTAAGTCAGAGAAAGACAAATATCATATGATATCACTTATATGTGAAATCTTAAAAAATGATACAAATGAACTTATTTACAAAACAAAAACAGACTCATAGGCTTAGAGAAAAAATTCATGGTTACCAGAGGAGCAGGGTTGAAGGAGGGATAGATTGGGAGTTTGGGGTTGACTTATACACATTGCTATATTTCAAATAGATAACCAAAAAGACCTACTGTAAAAAAAATTAAAAATTATAAAAAATAATAAAGTCAGCAAATGCATTCACACCAAAAAAGTAGGGGTTGAGAGAGAGAAAGCTGAGCAATGTAAGACATGGTGATTGTTCAGAGTCCTTAGGGTTTGAGTTGAAGGCTGTGGGCACAATCAATTCTCCCTCCCACCAGTGCAAAGTCCTGGTCAGTTCTGAGGCCCTGAGGTGTGGCTCAGTCAAGTCTTTAATTAGCATGTTCTTTATCAACACTGAATTGTTTGAAAGCCTCCATGTAGTTACAGTGTGGTTTGTAATTTTTTTTGTTGCTCCGTCTTATTGTATATGCATTGAGTATTGACCTGCATGTTTTGTTACTTAAATATTAAAGATACCGTTATCTCACTTTTGAACAGCTTCTGCTCTTTTTTCCTAAGCTTCAGAAAGTGGAGTTAGGAGCCTCAGCACCTCAAAGCTGAGTGCCTCTCCCTGGGGTGTTCTGTTTGCAGAATCCATGTCTTCTCAGCAGTAGCCATGCTGCCTGGAGGTCGGCCAGGTCTGCTCCAGTCCAGTTAGTAGTTTCTGCAGGTTGGGAAGCCTGAATAAAAAGGGATTCCCAGAGCTGCCAGGCATGCAGCTTGGGGTCCAAAAACCAAGATTAGCTTGTCTAACCCTGAGTATACCAGCTTGGATGTCTAATGTCATCGGTCAGCCCAGGTTCTAGTAAAACAAGACAGCCAGTGCCTATGCCCTTGTGGACATCAAGGGCTGGCTTGACCAGCTCAGTCAGCCGTAGTCGCTGAGGCTGCAGCAGTCTTTGGGAACAACATGAACTACAGAATCAGAACATCCCAACCCCTAATCCAGGTTGCATCACTTTCCAGCTGTGTTATCTTGAGCAAAGCACTTAACTTTTCAGAGTCTCAGTTTCCGTATCTGTAGAATAGAAATAATAATAAGGCTAATGGAATAATGTAAGTAAAGGATCTATTTAAGTGAAAACATCTGACTTGAACAACTTTAAGACAAACAGGGCCTTGGCTTGTGTAGCTAGGATATTAGGCCAGGGTAGGTTTCAGGCTGGATCAAGGGATAGGATCAAACTCTGCCTTTTTCTGCCCACATCTCACATCTGCTTTCCCATCAGTTGGTGTCCTTCTCAGGCAACCTGCCCCCATAGGATAGTAGGGATGGCTCTTATTTCCAGGCATAGGCCATCTTTCAGCTAGGGAAACTTGCCAAACTTTCCTGATATCTGTAGGAGAAAAAAGTCCTGATAAAATTCATTGGACTATTTGAGTCATGCATCCATCCCTAAACTTCTTCCTATAACCAGAGCAATGGTATTTAGCTTAAATAAGCCTGGGTCCCCCAGTCAAAACATAGAGGTTCATCAGATTCATCACTTGCCTCAGGATCCGCCTGCAATGCAGGAGATGCAAGAGACATGGGTTTGACCCCCTGGATTGGGAAGATCCCCTGGAGGAGGAAATGGCAACCCATTCCAGTATTCATGCCTGGAGCATCCCATGGAGGCATTGTGGGAGCCTGGTGGACTACAGTTCACAGGGTCGCAAAGAGTCAGACGTGACTGAAGCGACTGAGCCCACATGCACAAAGACTCTGTTCTAGGAACCCAGAGTCCTTAGCACTAGACACTTACTGCTTTGCCTCATTGTTTAGCCCCCTCGGTTGAACCTGAACTCCCAAGAAAAGCCTCAGAGGCACAACCTCTGAACCTCTCTGACCATTTACCAAACAGCATAGCATTTACAGTACAGAGGGAAAGTCTGGGGGATTGGTTTTATTCTCATGGGAAACTGATAATTATAACCTAAAAATGACAAGACAAAAAAAAAAAAAAAACCTTCACATTCAGTTTTTAAACAAGTGGGATTTCCAAACTGGATAGTAGAAAACTAAGATTAGGGACATTTTGAAGACTCTGTGCAAAAACAAAGTGTGCAAGTCACAATGTACATGCTCAAAATATGCCTCATCACTGTTACCCATAAAAATCCCTGGGAAATCCTGAGGAGTAGGCTAGTGTTTTGCTGTCATTCATATTGAGGTAGAAAAGAAAGTCAGTTAATCAATGTTTCCATAGGATGTCCAATTCTTTTTCCTTTTTCTTAGATAATAGCCTCATCCTGCCTCCACAGACATTATACAGGGTCACCCACTGCAACAACCACACCTTTTGCCAAAATGCCTGGCATCTCAGAGTTTGAGCATTTCACTGGAGACAGCACTGGCCTTGGTATCCAGTCTTTGAGGAAACCTGAACTCCTGGTCCTGACTCCATGGCCAACCTGTCGTGTGACCTTGAAAGGATCCATCACAAAGATTCCCCAACATGTTTTCATTATTTTGTTTCTTTATTGAGTCATTGAGATTATCAATACTGCATTTAGGGCTGTACATACTTTAATCTTCCAATACCCCTGATCTCTCCCCACCAACCTTCATCCTGTGATGAGATACTCAGAGAACACATAGTTGCAAACATGCACTCATAAATACTCACACAGACTCAAACATTCAGCTGTATCTCTGGGTGCTGAGAAGAGTCCACAGTTTTCTTGATTTTTCACTTCTCAGGCATTTGCAGACACCTCAGAACCTCTTTTAAACTATTTCATTTGTCCAGCTGAAACCAGGCTGATTTATCATCCCTCCCAATCCACGCTGAAGAAGGAAAGGGAGTATTTTCTTCAGAATACCCCAAATTAATATGAAATGAGTAAGACATATTAGGAGTTGAGGATAAACAGAGTTTCCTTTTGGTTTAGCGTTAAATGCAAGATACTATATCGTGGAGAAAAAATGTCACTAAAATTCTTCAAAAGTATTCCAGTTCTGTTCTTGAGCTAAAGTATTTAATTTAGATACAGAAAAAGGATCTAACAGTGATGGTTTTCAATATGTATACCACCACAATATTCAATAGTAAAGGCAACTACTACCTAATGATCAAATAAGATGAAAACCTAGCCACCTCTACTATAGGATTGCAAAGAGAAATCAGAGATTTCTTCCTGGAGAAGGAGGAGTTGGAATCTGCTTGGAGATGAAGAACATGCAAGTCCCTTCTATAGACAATATCATATTTTGTCTTATCTTTTAACTTAGATTTTGGGGGGAAATGTGAAGATAATGGAATACCTAATCTGAAAAAGGCTAAAAATATTTGTCCTTTAATCCAGCTGTTCCTTTTTCATATTCCCTAAGGAAATAATCATAAATATTTATACCCAAAGATATACATCAATTGTTTGGGAGAGTGAAACTGGATCAACTTAAAATCCAACTAGAAGACTTAAATAAATAATCATTTATTTATTGTTTATAAATTAATACACAACCATTAAATTAGTAAGATTTTAAATATTAATTCTTTTAAGTAGTGCATTGAAAATGCTGTGGAAAGAAATATATTCTAAAATATTTTAAAGTAGTTGCTCTTATAGTGATGTAATGATTCTTTTCCTTTATACTTCTCAAGATTTTCCAAATTTTCTTCAATGAGAATATCTGCATTTCATATCCAAAGGAAAAAAACAAAACTAAAAATTTATGGAGAAACAAAAACTTGAAAATGAGATCCAGACATGGTACAGCAATATGAATACACTTAAATATACACTTCAAAAGAGTTAATATGGTAAATTTTATGATATGTGCCTTTTTAACTACAATTTTAAAATAAC